TATTGGACATTTATATTTATGTATAAAGAATGTAAATACTAACACTATTATATGCTTTCGTATTAAATTTATGAATTTTTTTTTTTTTTTAGTTTCGAATCCTTACAAGTAGAATAAGAATACCTATTTTTTATACTTACTTTGTATTTCATAATGTATATATGTATAATAATTAAAAACGGTTTTAAGAAAGAAACATGAGTTTCCTCGATTAAAAGAATTGGTATGTGTATATATATATATATCTATATCTATATATCCGATAGACTTCCAGACAACTGTTGATGAAGAGCAAATATACAAAAATGTGACCCCCTCCATGAAATTTCTCATCAATCATCACTGTATTGGCATTTTAACTTTCCAATCAGGTTACCAAATCCATGATCAAAACCAGGGCCCACTGCTTGATCATTGGCTTCTCTGATATGTCACTGTTTGTCATCCCATCTCGTCTTGATTAAAACAAGGTCCCACCCCCCAAAAACTGATGCCATCTGATAGGGCATGTTGGTTCTATTCACCGGTAGGTCACATCCACGGAATCATTTCACCAATTTGTTCGTATTTGTATTTGGAAAGTTTTTAGGTCAAATGTTACTGCAGTAAATTCTATGGTTTTACTTACTAGTAATGTCTAATTTTTTTACTATTTTTTATAAAAATATATTATATTCCATTCCTATTTTTTTACTTTTTACTAATTTAGGTATAAATTATTACTAGACTGATCCTTATTATGCCAAAAAATGATAATTATAAAAATAGTTACAAAAAATATAAATTAAAACGTCACCTTATAGTTATATAAAGCTGATTCTGATTTTACAGCTAATTTTTTACTTCTTCGGAACAGATAATTATTATTATTTACAGCGGGTGTTTTTACTTGTTACGTTAACTTGACACCTTTCTGTTTCTCCCTATTAACATTTTGTTTGTTGGTCAAATCAAAAAGATAAAAACCATGCATTGGTTTCCGCAATTTTTAACCCCTTGGGGACTTGCCTAAATCCTTTTTAACCCACTTCCTCCTTTCCGTTTTTTTATGTAATTAGTATTCTAACTAATAAAATTATTCCAAATCAATGATTTAAATTTTTGAATTAAAAGCTAATTTCAATTAAGCTAATACCAGATAATAATCGTGACAAAATACATAAAACAGTATGGAATCTTAAACTAAAATTTTTTGATTTTATAATTTCACTATAAATAATATATTCTTTTAACTGAAATATCAAAACAATTTTCAAACGAAAAATAATTAAAATAATTGCTTGAGTTTTTACTCTATAATTATTCAAGCATTAATTTGAAATAGATGTTTGAATTCTGAGTATTATTGAAAATAATATTAATATATATAATTTTGTATCAAAATAAATAAAAAATTTAATAAGATTAAATAATATAATTGTATATACATATATATTTATGAAATTAAGCCTTATAAAATTTGGTGGCATGAGGTAAATTTGGAAACACCATGCCTCGGATCATGTAAAATTGAGACAGGGTTTTGAAGTGCATAATTTATGTGTTTGAAATTTGAAGCCAACAAATGACTATTGAATTTAGACACCTCGTTGACCATTTTCACATATCAAATTTGCTATTTTATTTTTTAACCTTTAATATAATTTTCTTTCAACAATATTATAAATAATTATGACTCTTTTAATTGATAAATTAATTATTTATTTCAATATATTATAAATAATTAATACATATCTTTGTACTTAAATTAATGAGAAATATTTGTTGAATTTTTTATTCGTAAATGAGTTTAATATAAATTTTTGTGTGCGTAACAGTCTATCAATTTAAAATGAATGTTTAAAAGTAATTAATTACAGTTAGATAATTATGTGACTTAATGTATCGAGTTTAAGTATGAACTTTTAATACGTGCATATATTATATTTATAATTTTTTATTTTATAATGAATCAAATGAAAAATGATAAAAGTTGACGATATAAAAAAACAGTTATAATTCATAAATTGTACGTATAATTTTATTTTTTTGTTATCTCATCAACAAAAAAAAAAGTTAAAAGATCACGTTTCAATTTAGAAGATCTACGTTACTACGTAAAAAAAAATTTATTATAAATTTAGTTACACTTTCGTATTTATTCTATTTGATTCAGTATAAGATTAATTTATAGTTATTTTCATATATAATTTAAATTAATCTTACAATATCATCATATAATATCACATAAATTAAAAAAAAAAAAAAGATTATATATTAAACATTTGCAAATTGGGTTAAAACATCATTATGGTACAATTAAAAACTTTACCTTTAAAAAACAAAAAGGTAACAAGGATTTTTATTATATAAAACAAAAACTTAGAATAATAATATAAATATATAATATATTTAGTAAAAAGAAATAAAGATTAAAAATTTAAAAATTCAAATTAATTAGTTGTCTTCCAACATCTGTTAAAACAATTATTACCATTAATTTAATTGCGTATATTTTATGGTAAATGACATAAAATTTAACTTCAATTGCATGTTTATGGAAACAAACATCTTTATCAACTACATGTGATCACGAAAGAGAGAGGAGTTAAAAAAAAAAAGAAATGTAAGGATTTAAATGGGCAAACAAGATGCATAGAGGCAAGCGAGAGTACCGTATCAACAAATATGCATGCATGGAAATAATCTATCATATTTTGGATTATGCTAAATTATTATCGTTAATTAATTTTAATTATGATCTTAGTAAGCGTTGATTTAAAGATTAAATTAATTTTCAAATCTTTTAAAACTTAATAATATGAACTTTTTGTCTGATTAAACTTGAAGTTGGAACAAAATATCTTTTTTACCTGCAACTCACAGTAACCGGGAAAAAGCAGTATCTCAACTTTGATACTCTGTAATCTTTTTCCCTTTCATCTCAACCATCCTTCCACTAATTAATTAATTAATTAATTACAGCCAACTCAATTAAGAAAGAAGTAATTATAGTTTATTACTTAATGGAATTTGATCTTAGTATACATATTTTATTAATTTTTTAGTTAGATTTAATTTAATTTATTTATTTTTTTGAAATTCAAGATTATTATTTATCTTGGTCAAATATATGAGTGATTTTGTGCAGAATGCCCGCATCGGTGAAAAAGTAAATTTAAAGTTACTGCCCCCAGAATGACCCAGTGAGATTCGGTGCATTAAAATTCTCCACTTTCACTCAATTAAGCTACCCCATGACGTATGTATTCCGGGGGAATCCACCTTTCATAATAAAATTATATTTAACAATTACAAGAATAATTTAACAGTTAAAATATTAATATTTTATTAAAATTACAAATTTAATTAGTTATAAAATATTATTTTATAAATTAATCATATATTATTTAACCAAATTAATATTTAAATAATTATTATAGCGGTAGGTCACTAGTCAGTCTATAATATTATAAGTTAATAATTATTTTGATGGGCCTCAAGAGGCAAAAAAGGCCCAGATTATACCCACTGCCAGATCCATCTGCACTTTAGAAAAAAAAAAAAAAAATTAATTTTCTATTATTTTAGTATAAGAGTGCAATAATTTTATTTTTTCTAACTATTTTAGTTATTTTTTTTCTTAAAAAAAGAACCCCTTTTAGTTATAGTTTTAGTGCGGATGATGTCATTAATTAAATAAGAAAAATAAGTGAAAATGACTTTAAATATCAAATGATTAAATTAAAATAAAAATAAAATTTTTAGAATAAAAAAATCTCAATCCCATTATAAATACTAACCCTAACCTGTGACTCATCAGTTCACATTTATTCACTCGGAACAAACTCACACCCACCACCTCACTGGTTTTCACATCAAGGAAAAACTAGAGGAGAAAAAAAAAAAAAAGAAATTCTGCTATTGAGGAGCGAAATCAAGCTTTTTCTTCTGTATAAAAATGGCTGCCACACTTTCTACAAGTGTCAGTGCACCGGCTGAGTTCTACTTCGATGAAAAATGGAAGCTTTCGAAGAAGGAAGGATCGTCGAAAAGCTGCCGATCATCGTCTTCGTTGATGAAGAATTCATCGCAGAGGAGGTGTTCTTTCACCAGGAAGTGTGCCAGGTTGGTCAAGGAACAGAGAGCTCGGTTCTATATCATGAGGAGATGCATAACGATGCTTATCTGCTGGAGAGATTACAGCGATTCTTGAAGAGAAAGTGGAGGAAAAGTGAAGGAAAATTTACAGAGGGTAAATGGAAAGAAAGTTGAAGGAGGAAAAAGGTTTCCTCTGTTTTTTGGTTACCGGATCATCTCTTGTTTCCTTTTAAGAGATCTTTTTTGGGTTTGTCTCGGGAGAAAATACAAAAGGAAAAGTACAAACCCAGGTAGGATTTTTTTTTTTCTCGGCATCCAAACAGGAAGAAGAAAAGGGAAAGCAGGAGGAGGAAAAGGAACATCTATATATATACGTGTACATAAATATTTGATTTCTTTGTTTTATTTTTCTTTACCTTTTTTTTTCTTCTTCTGTCTTGATAGATTGTTTTCCTTAGTTTTGATTTTGAGGAAGCTATAAATCTCCATTGAAGGAGAAAGGAGATGTTAATTAGTGTAATATTTTATATAATGTGATAGATAATGAAAATCAAAAACCAAAAATATTTTCCTTTCAAATTTTTTTTCTGGATCTGTTCAAGGTTTGATCTTTTTGAATCATTGAATTGATGTGAATTTCTGTTTTTTGAGATCTCCACTTTCTGTGTAACTTGTGTGTGGAATAGAGAAAGAGAGAGAGAGAGATTCCATTCAACTGTAGCAGCTGAGCTCAGTATGGATCTGGGTGAGCTATGGCTGACAAGTTATTGGTTTTTTAATTCATTTTTTAAATCAAATCATAGAGGTTGAATTCAGTTATATAAATCTATATGTATATATGCGCGTATAATTATATATGCACATTTTTTTTTTTTATATATTATATAGTGATTTGTTTTGGTTGAAATGGGTTTATTTATTTTTTTATAATTTTAGTCTCTTTGTATGCTCTAAAGGACAAATAAAAACGTCATTTTTAAGATTGAAGTCTTAATTTTGATAATCTAAACAAAGGTTTAAATTGATATAATAAGAATACGAATATAATAGCAATTAGGAGGTATAAAGGGATTAAAGGGTATCTTGACAAAAATATAATTTAAAATGACATTTTAGAATCTTTAAATTTAATCATCATTTTCATTATTAATTAAATTGTACATTCAATAAATAGCTTAAAAGAATTTTAATGCCGGTCAAAATCATCTTTATAATATACTTAATTTTGAGTTGAATTAGATAATTCAATAGTCTAAAATTAAAACCTTATCTTCCCATATTGTGCATGATTCACGTAACAATAAAATCTTATCCAATTGTGAAAAAATTAGAGAAAAACAAAAATAATATTATTATTAATATAATGGTAATTAGAAGTAAATAAATTGAGAGTAAATTGGGCACGGGTTACAATATATAAATGACGACATATTGAGTTTTGACCAAATGTGGACATCACTTGGACCTTACATGCCATTTTATCGTTTGTTGTTGATAGTAATATCACTATCAAATTCTTTTTTCAAGCATGTGACCACTAACTCAATTTTAATTTAATTCATATAATTTATGTCTATTTATCACATATATATATATATAGTTAAATATCAGTATTAAAATTATTAAAAAAATAAATCATATATTAAAATTGAGAAATTTGGGATCACAAAGCATTAAATTGAATTTTACCTTTTTTTTTTTATTCAAGCAATAAATTATTAGTTTTAAAAAATTGTAAATCATATAGTGAATCAAACCGAATTGCCTAAATTGATTTTCATTTTTATTTAATAATTTTGGGTGAAGAACAATAAATAAAATTAAATAATTAAAATTTTCAAGTTCATTGTATATGTGAGAATTTTTGTCAAATTAAAATTTTATTGTAATTTTTTGCAAGACGTTATCACTTAACCATCCCATATTGGTATGTGCATTTTGTTTTGCCATAAAAGCCATGGAACATAATAATTATGTACACCCTCACTTTTGTGTGTTATATATATATGTTTGCATGCCATATTAATTTGTCAATACAATATATAAGATTGACAAAAGTGGTCAACAATTTAATTTTGAGCTGGTCAAAATTAATCATCTTGATTCGGCACATTGATGATAATATTGTCAATTTATGTGTTTTTTGAGGCTCAAAATCCACTTAACAAACTTTTTGTTGATTGAAATTATAAATTATGATAACGTGGTGTTTAATTATAGAAACCATTCAAGGACATGGGGTCAGTGTATATATACACATATATTAATTTATTAAACAAATTTGAAAAAAAAAAAAAGAAAAATTCATATCTAATGCAAGTAGATATATACTTGGCCAAAAAAAAATATTTATTATTATTATTTAGTAAAATTATGCAAGTATTAAATCACTCTAAATTTATTATGTACATTAATTCAATTGGTAAATGATATTCTATTTTTCTTTAATATTTATTTTATACCCCATAAATATATAATTGACAACACCCTTTTAAAATGCATTTCAATCTTATGCAAAATGTGATAAAATTAATCAAATCAAAGGTCTTGTGGACTCCCATGTGAGGTTACAAGACAAACAATCTTTAGTTATATCACATTTCTAATCTCTATTTTTTCCTTATCAATTTTTGTTTGTATTAATTGACATATCAAATTCAAAACTTCCCCCACATGCACTTTGAATTCTATTGTTATCTAACAAATCACATCTATTTAGTATGGTCAGATCTTTGTGGAATTTAAATGATATATTGTTTTGTCGTGATTTTATTATATTTACATAATTCGAGAGATGGGTTAATTTCTTTTTCTTTTTTTTTTTTGTAAGTAAATAATAATTATAATTCCACTCTTACCCATATTAATTTGAATAAAAAATAGTAAATTTTTTTAATGTATCGAACACAATTAAAAATAATTTTAATTTTATAATATTTATGCTGATATCATATCGATATCACTATTTAAAATATTCTCGTCCCATCTATGTTTATAAAATATACTTTAACTAATAAAGTATTAATATTATATTACTTAAGCGTGAATATTTAAAGGCAACATAAATTGCTTTGTATAATTAATAATAGCACATTATGTTTGCTCGTTGAATGTTGCGGGCTATTACCCTAGTCGGTCAACGAAGTTAACTTGGCTTTTATTGACATTTTCTTATTGCTTTTTGTTTTTTCCTTTCCACTTTCTAGGCAATCAAACAAACATCACTTGATATAAAACACTAGATTAGGGTTTTGAATTCTAATGATTGGGATTTTAGCTTGGCGTGCTAAAGTAGACCCCAATCAAATCATACAATAAATAATTATTAAAATAATAATAATAAATTAAAAGGGTTCAATCAAGGAACTTTAGTAAGGATTTGGCCTACACCTAAATAGGGTTAAAAGGATTAAAAGTGAAAACATAGCATTCCCCACAAATCTTAACCCACTATTTAATTTCATGATTAAAAATCTTAATAGATATGATCTTCACTAATCTAATTTTGACTTATTAGTCATACGTAATTATCCATTAGATTTGCTCAATAATAATTATATATCAAAGTATTTTGGTGCATTATAACTTATACCCATGTTTATCTTGTAATATTTTTTTATTAAAAAGTTAATTTTAGCCTTCTAAAAATAATTTTATCTTAATCAATATATTTAGAACAGCATTAACATTTAATGTGTAATAGGATCATCTTCTAAAAATGGTTTTGCATTAGATGGAAGTGAATAAATTTGAAATAATCCACTTTGGCTATTATTACATTTTTATCCAACTACGTCCCTTCCCCTGCATATAAGTTTTTCATATTTTATATACCTTACCGTTCATAGATTATTATCGATTTTTATATATTTGAAAATCCCAAACGGGTTGAAGAAGAGATAAATAGTATATAATAAAATATATTTACAATTAACCCACTCAAGAGGAACACTTGAGAAATAAGAAAATAATTTGGAAACTAATAATTACACGTGCTTTTGAGGGAAGATTCTCTGTGTGGGGTCCATGCACTAATCCCAAAGTAATTTCTTTCTTAAAATAAAAAGACAAAATTTCAAGGCAACACTGAGGGTCCCGACCGGTCAACGGTCACATCACAGCCACGCATGCGACCAAGCGTGACCAACTAGCAGCGTGATGGACGGTCGTGATCATCCCATACTTTGCTCTGATCTGATTGGTTGATCGCCGGACAATCATGGAAACAACTGGATTTACGTTGCCCCCATCCTCTTTCGTGAACCGTTGCTCAAATGAAAAAAAAAAAAAAAAAAAGAAGGGACCCACAATCACGAGGGGTTCTGATTTGGTGCTTTTTCATGTTTAGGTGGGCCCCAAACTAGGAGATCAAATCTCTCCCTATGTAACAAAAATTCACATTTATTATATTTCATTTACATGCAAAAAATTTCATCTCCTACCTAAAAGAGTTAAATTCTTACACCATCTACTTTTGGTTCAAATACAATTCAAATTTTTAAATTTTGTCATAATAAATTTTTATTGCTATCACCATATCTATTAGTGTTAAACAGATATTCACGTAATGTATTAACATTAATATTAAAATTTAAAAATATTATCAATAAATATAAATTATAAAAAATTAATCAAAAAAATATAAAACTTGAAGTTAAAATAATAAAATTTATAATTTTTTGTTTTCTCTAAATATGGCATTTAGTTTTTGGTCCAACTAGTTTTTCATTGAGCATTTTTACATTTACATTTAAGAAATTTGAATGTGAACTATATTAACAATATTATTGGATCATAAATTTTTCAAAAATAAAAATAAAATGTTAATTTTTAAAGTAATAAATTATATATTTAATTCATAAATATAAGAAATATCTGATGTATATATTTATCTTTTGGTACACTCATTACTACATACATACATATCGTAATAATGCATAAGGCCGACATGGTATAGGTGCAATTTTTTTTTTTTTTATATATATGTTGTGAAAAATCACAAGTATTTATCGAGATGTCAAAATTTTAATATAATATTTTCATATCTATATGTATATAAATACATTGCACTTGGATTGCATAATATTTTGTATTGAAGCCAAATAGGTCGACCCCTTCTTTTGTTACATGACATATGACGAGGGCCCTATTTTAGAACTAATTTTGGCATATTTAAAATTTCATAAAATATTCAATGATTGCATTGGATAAAAAAATAAATTTTGAATTTAATCAATTTTAAGATATTTTGGAGTCTATACATTTAAATCAA